AAGATCAGTTTATAAGATCTCATAAATAAATATATCAACTATTTATGCCGAGGTTCATAGAAAGTCGGTCTTTCGAGTTGCTGAGATATTTGCAAAACTCTGGAGGTGTCTATGGTGGGGAACGAACGCGCTATTGTCTATGTCAATCCCGCTGACGGGTGATTGCTGCGGCAAAGATCGATAGAAATAGCTGAGAGACAAGCGAAACGAAGGGCCCGCATGGTGTGGTGGTGAACGCGTTACTCCCCGGAAAGGACAATAACGCGTTCGTTCCCCACCAATAGACACCTGCGGTCCAGAGTTTTGCAAATATCTCAGCAACGTTGTGGTTGTATCTCAGTATCGTTGTGGTTGTATTTCGCATAGTACCCTGCTGTGACAAATTGCAGTAGGCAGCAAATAAAAAATAAACACAGTTAAGTATGTAATTAGGACGTGTACTGTCAGTAAACCTAGGAAATAAAAACATTCTTACTAATGGAACGAAAAAGACAAGAATCAAACGAGTCAGTTCAATGTTTGTACCTCTATAACATCGTTGATCTGAACCATTTAAATCGAAAACAAACCTTCTTCTCGTCGAAAAACGTCCACTTCGGATCGTTTTTCGACGCATGGTAAGCCTCACTTGGTGCGTAGGTATTGAAGCGATTTTGTCCATGATTGTTGCGAGTGTCATGAGGAAAAATACCAATGCTCGCCAAACACCTATGATGGTAATCGTTCTTCACTAATTCACATCACGACAAAAACTCAAACCATGCCATTTAGTTCGGAAACAAATAGTACTGAAATACATAGATGACTGTACCTCACGCTTTGCGCGCTTCCCCGCACTCTTCTCACTGGTTTCAGATTCTTACAACTACTACCCACAAAAGTAAGTTGGACTTCGTGTGGGAGTGACTTAACCTTGATGATCCAAAAATTGATTCCACCTGTGAATAAAACTGGCCTCTTCATTTATCCAACCTACACACAAGCACATATTTTTGGCAGTGTTACTCGTGATTGTTTTTGTTCACGAAGAATCCACTCTAATGTTCTTTACTTCCACCTGGCTTAGATCTCTTCTCATTATGTGATCGATTCATCGACGTTTATTTCCTGAGACGCATTCTGTTGGGCTTCCAAGACGGGATGATTTTTTAAAATTTAACCAATGAAAACCGGTTCAGTGTTGCTTCCGCCGACTCATCTCCGGAAGACATGGCTCGAATGCTTTGTGTATTATACGTAACTGCAGTCGATGTGGATGAAGTTTTAGTCACACGTTGCTACTACAGAGCACACAGCATAAAGACAGACGAGATGTTGCGTTAGATAAATTAGCAGGTAAGTTGGAAGAAGGTAGCTGGAGAAACCAGAGGACGGCTGAGGCTGTTCATTGTCTTCTACCGAACTTTCCTTTCCAGTCGTTATCAAAATTTACTAAACATTAAAACAATACGTATGTAGTCTCCTTAATAACAGGGAACGTCATTACCTCCACAGGATTCATACGCGAGAGGCACTGAAGTGGGGCACACTGCTTTCTTGGAGTTACCGTCCTATTGCTCGGTTCTCTCATATTTTTCCCATGTATCTCTAATTTCTACCTATCCACCATGTTTTTTTGTCATCAATCTCATCAATCTGGGGGTGTGATCTAGCTTTTGTGTGTGGCGAAAAAAAAGATTCCTACATTATCCTACTACTGCGTTATCAGTCTTTCTCATGGTTTTGTACGACTTTCAAGTATATTTCTCTGCCTCTCCCATGTTTTTTATATTGACCAATTCCATTCCAGTGTCCGAAAAAAGGCTTCTTCCAAGTATAACGCATTGAGAACACCTACCAATGGTTTGGCCTCAGTATAAAGTCTATGCTCGAATTCTGACAAAAAAGCTCTATGTGGCGAAATAGACGAGGCAAAAGCGTGCACATTGAAATTAAATTATACGACCCGAAACACAGAGCAGCGAACATATCCAAATCAATGCACATGGTCATAAAAAGGCTAGAATGCGAAAAACTGAGGTTTGTCTAAAAAGGGCGCATGCAGCGCAGTGGTTAGAGGCGCCCTGCAATACACATGGGTTCGATCCCACGGCCCCTGCTCACCAAGCCTTCCACTTTTTCAGGGTTGGCAAATTGGTGCCAGACTTATCTGGATAGCAGCACTGACCCTATACATCGGTAAGCTACCGCGAATAATTGCAAAAGCTAGATTCAAGCACGTCCGACGGTGCTCAATGAAATCGAATGCGTGGCGCACCCATTAGCGATTGATCACCGCCAAGAGCTCTATCCTTTTATGCAAATTACATAGGAAAAAAAATGCAAAAGTTCGACGGAAAAAGATTGGCGCCATACGAAAAGCAAACAGTCAGAACACAGCTTCTCGAAATGGGGATTTTGTTTTTCTTAGGAACTAACCTCCCAATTCCGACGTCTTCGTAGATATCATCAGGACACAGCGTTTCATTTCCGTAGAGAAATTCGTTGAATATCTTCACAGCCGCTCGAGAGAGGACATATCCAGCACCACCAGCATTGTAACCATGCTTCTGAACTACAATGTTTTGAAGTGTATCAGGAGTGTTCAAGGAAATGTAGACAATACCAAATATGGTTTTAAGGTGTAGCCGAGGTAATAGGGATTGTTAGGATCGAGCGTAGATAAATAGTCCTTCAGATGTTCCACAACCACATACGTATCATCGTCAGCCTGTCAATGCAAACTCGTTTCTCATTGTTCACCATAAGAGGATTTTTCTAACACAATATAAAAGAGACGAATTAGAGGATATCTATACAATATGGATATTTGGAGAAGCTGAAACGCAGTTAAAAGGCCTTGTTAAGCGAAAAATTGAAAGGAAATCAATGTTCGAAGAAGCTAAATGAAACGAAGTGCTGTACAAAGATCATGAGCCAGATCTCGCCATTCAATTGCCACTTGTTTCATCTTTCTTAATGTTTAACCGGAATTTAAGTAGCTACTGGTATCCTAGTTGTAATGCCGATTTATCACGTCGCGTTAACAAACCTTCATGTACCAGTCGAAGTCCTTAGAAATGTATTGATATGTGTAGAAGAAGGCATAACGGCTCTTATAGAAGAGATTATAATAAGAATCGGGAATGCCTGCGAATACTGTCGAATAAGGAATATCGTCGGTAGAGAAGAAACCATCAGTGAACAACTGCCCGTGATCGCACCTGGATAGCCACGTTTCATTGATGGCCAACGCCTGAACGGCTCAGGAATAAAAGGTTGGAAAAAAACTGTGGATTTTGCATATTCCCAATTTGCAATGCTTACACTTACATCTTTAAAGAGTTTTATAGCACTTAACGGTGATCAGTGCATCAGCATATTTTTGAATCGTCTACAAGTTTCACACAAAATCGCTCTATTTGTTTCGGAATGACTCGTTCTGTAACATTGTCGTCAATAAAACTTCGCATTTACTACTTTACTACTTTTCTTGAGAATGCAACGACACTCAAAGGAAACTATGAAGGATAACGATTAAAGCCCTCGACGTTGATAAATCCCTGAGGGACTCTCCATGCATTCGACTTCATTAAGCATCGTTAGAGGTCACTGAATGCATACCTGGCCGATACAATGACTTGAGATGACCAAAGGATGATGTATCAAGTAAGTGATCGCTATCTTGCCAGAGAAGAGTGGTATTAATTTGCCGATGCCAGCGAGCGGGGTCGAACCAACGACCGAATGTGTACTGGAGGGCACCTCCAAGCACTGTGTTATACGCGCTCTCATAAGAAAACTCAAATCAGGACGAATAGCGTTTTTTACAATGTAGTCAGCAGCCGCACCACCTTGATATTAGTCAGGTAAATTTTATTTTAGAAATCGTTCTAAACGAGGAACATCATCCGAATTTGATAATAACGTCCCTAAACGTTACCTAGTAGCAGATATAAGCAAGATTAGTAAGAAGGTGCGCGTTGGATTTGAAGTAACCAACCCAATGACTTTCACTAAAAATATCAGGCTAACCTCTGAAGCTGTTTTTGTCCAGTAGGAACTTCAAAGACAAAAGAAATTATGGTCGAAATATCCTCTCGGGGTTTGTTCTTAGGTTGCAGGCAAAAGGTAATAGAAAAAGTGGCTTGAAAATGACTAGCATTCATGGAAACCAACAGATAGCATGCCGTTAACGGCAAACAGAACACGGGGTTGACATTGTAGTTGCGGTTACTTTTAGGCCTGCACTATACAACCTTCTCACATTCTGCTATCGACACAATGCTCTTTCTAGCTATTCTACCCGATTTGTGCCTACCATCGCCACTACTTCAACTACTCTAGAATTACTATAGACTACCCATAAAGAACGTCTGTAAATGCATTTCTCCTTTTCAGTCCTCTGTGTGCGATCGCAGCTACGTGTAGATTATAAGGGTTAGAAGGGCACTAACATACACACTAGGTGAGTCAGTGGTACCTCACATAATGGACTACAGTTCTTCTAAGCCTCATATAGCGTACGATATTGTTTTTCTTTTTGCAATTCCTAATGCTTTTTTGGTTAATCAAAAATTCGAGGGGTTAAGGACTGGAGATACTTACTGGAATTGGTTGCTTTGTTCTATTCTTTATTACTCTTTATTTTACTGCTCCAGTTCCTAGTTGGTATGCATTTAACGTGCGCTTTGTATCGTTATAGCTAAAATTTGTCCGATTAATTTAAGTTTGTATACGTTGCCAGGGCGCGTGTCGCGCAGTGGTCGGAGGCGCCCTGCAACACACACATGGAGTCGATCCATACGCCCCTAGCCCAACAAGCCTTTCATTCCTCTGGGATCGGTAAATTGGTACCAGACTTGTCTGGGAAGACAGCAACACCGGATACATCGGTACGCCACGGCGAGTCATTGTAAATGCCAGATATGCATTGAAACACCTCTAAACGATGCTTAATGAAGTTGAATGCAGGGCGCATCCCTCAGAGGTTGATCAACGCCGAGAGCTTTAAAGAGTTTTATGTGTTGTCGCTGCTATTTCCTGATTCTTTTTATATACGCGTGTTCAAATGTTCTACGCTTTTTTTTCTTATAAGGTATCCGAAATGCATTTCAAATGCTCTAGACCCAGTCACCTTTCAGAGCAAAAAGCTACGCGCTTATCCTATTGCTTCATCCCATTTTTACTTCAAGGGCTTCGTTGTGACATTACAAATTTCGTCCCTAAATTGTGTTGCCTTCAGCATTTTCTTTCTCAAACTGCCTTATAGCATCAATCGTAGTGCATTAAGAAGGAACACCGCAACCGCTGGGCATTGTTTCTGTATGGCAAACTATTTCACTTGAACATAGAGAACTGGCGAAAGCAACTACAGGTGAAGCTTAGTATCGAATTAGATCTTAGTTTTTGTGTTACAGGGAGTTACAGATAGTAGTTAATTTCTCCCTCATAGGCCACGGATCCCCTTCATGGCCACAGATCTCCTTCACAGCCACGGTTCTCACGCCGATCAATCGCGAGGCAACACGGTCCGTCACCAGGTCGCGGATAGTAGATTAGTAGCGGACCAAAAGCGGCCGTTGCTTTCCTTCTCCTTGTCCCTGCTGCGAAATTTGGCTCCTGACCGGGAAACAGCTTCCGTAAGCGCATAACGGCAGTGCTGACCAGGCCGAATGAGGAGAATGTGCTAAAATCTCATGGCCATTCTAGGCTGCTTGAATCGCAAAGGACCAAGGTGATGATATCTACCTACAGTGCGCTCACACTTCCATGAATCCCCGATAGAAGACTTGATCATGAATGCAAGAAGGATAAGTCATGACACTATCGGACTTGCCGAGACGAGAATACACCAGGGATAGAATGCCGTTTATGACACCGGAGAAGAACTGTTCCCTGGAACATGCTCCAATAGAGTTGAAGGGCGACCGTGTCGGCGTTCATGTCAACACGATTTTGGCCATGGAGATCGATTCATTCGAACAACTAACACCCGAATAGGACGTTTACGATTGAAGACATGTGGATCAATACCGGCTTTGGCAATCGTCGTCATTTGCGCACCAACATCGAGCTGTGGCGAAGATGAAGCCAAAGCGTTCTACGATATATGGACTTGGAGAAGTTCTACAGAGAAGACCATGCATTCTTCGAGGACATCACTAGAGATTTTAACGCTAAGATTGGACCCAGAGGAACGTTTGAAGAATGTCACATTGGGATATACGAATTAGAATGGAACGACCAAGGTGAGCGGCCGTCCGAGTTTGCCATGACGAACAAGACCATTCACGGTAAGTCGCAATTCCAGAGGGCGCGCACTCAACGACGGACGTGGTAGTCTTCCAATGGATAGTACCACAACGAAGTAGGACACATAATAGTAAATTGAAGGTCTTGCCTAACCGACGCCGCTATTGCCCCAGAATTCCATCTAAAATGTCTGTCCTAGATCAGACATCGCTTCTTTCGTGCAGCATTTCACTTCTGGCCGACGGGAAAAAAAGTCGCTAAATTCAAAAAAAAAACAAAGCAGCAAAATCATTGTAGACTGGGATTGATTAAATTCATTAGTCAGCTGTTGGAAATATGCCGTTCTTGATAACATCAACGAAGAATACAATCGGCTTATTCAACATCTTCACATTAGCGCTATGAAAGCTGAGAGTTCGAAAGTCACTAAGAGACCTCTGTCTCCAGAAACACTCGACCTGACAGGCCAGCGTGGTATTGATTGGGCAACAGACAACGGCCAACTCACATCCGAACTTGCAATACTCCATAAAGGCGATAAAGATCTTACAGAGAGAAGAACAGCAGTTATGGCCGAAGCTGCAGAGACTGAGAAGAGCGTTCGTAAAGCCCATCAAAACTGCACTACTTGCAAGACCACGATGATTGCATCCTGACGCCCAGGAGGTACTGTCCCATCTGCTAGAAAGTAAATAGAGGAAATCATTCATTACTACTAACTGTTCAATAACCAGGTTCTCCTGGCGTCACACGGAATATAGGATGATGGACAGACCTATCGTCCTACCGATTCTCTCTTCCGAAATCCGGTATGCTGTTTCGTCGGTGAAGAATCAAACAAGACAAGCTCCGGACACGATAAAGGGTAAAAGATAAAGGATAAAGCTGTCGGCGTTGATCAATCCCTGAACGATGCGCCATGTACTCGACTCCATTAAGCACCGTTGGAGATGATTGAATGCATATCTGGCCTTTAAAATGACTCGCGGTGGCCTGCCGATGTATCGAGCCAGTGCTACTATCCTCCCAGGTAACTCTGGTACCAATTTGCCGACCTCGGAGAGATGGAGGGCTTGGTGAGCCACGGGCACGGGAATTGATCCCATGTTTACTGCAGGACGCCTCCGACCACTACGCCACACGTGCTCCTGCAGACACGATAAAATGTTAAAGCCTAAAAAACCTTCCGCCAGTCCTCAGAAACGCACTGGTTGGTCGCTACACGTGTTACATGCCAGAATGTAAGGCTCCTATTCTATAGAACACTAGCAAGAACGTGCCATTGTTCAGGAAGGGTGACCCTCTCGATATCGGAAAATATTACCCAATTTGCTCACAATCTCTCTAGAATTTTTTCACCTGAGTTATCCTACACAAGATTGACAGAACACTGGAGGAAGGGCAACCATGTGGACAGGGCTTCGAAAAAGTTTAGCACCATGGACCACATCCACATTACAACAAGACTCGCTGAAGTATTGGGAGAGTGTAAGAGACCGCTGTTTCCCACTGTCATGCATTTAGAAAAGATCTTTGACTCACTTGAGACAGAAGAAGCCATCGAACTCGGGACAGCCAAGACGTCCCTACTCAGTATATGGAAATTCTTTGCGAGCTATACAAAAATTTCACAGCGACATTTTAAGCATTCTATAACGACACTGATATCGCGTAAAACGAGTGGTGAGCCAAGGCGATACCGTCTCGCCAAAATTATTCACCAAACATTACCCAAGCGGAACGTATGATTGCCGACTTTGAGAAAGGCTGTGGAAAGATTGGCCTTCGACTAAATCTCACAAAACGATGTTCATGAAGAACGGATCGGTTTCGCATTCCCCATTCACGCTCAACGGAACGAATATCTCCGAATGCTCTAGTTACGTCTATCTAGGTCGGGAAATGAACATGGTGAACATATTATCAGCATTATACAGCCATATCCACAACGACGTAACACGAGTGCTAAGGCAAGGCAATACCATTTCGCCAGAAGTATTTGTCACCACACCAGAATATCATGCGACAACTGGATTAGGATGTTATGGGAGAGAAAATCGATGATTGGCAATTACAGCGTCTTTGCCTAGCTGATGACATCCTTCCCATAAAACCGAGCACCAGCTGGGTGGAACGAATGCTTGCCGACTTTAAGCCTGTGCAAACATTAATCTTCGACTAAATCCCGCAGATACGATGTTTTTAGTAACGGACTGGTTACGTATGCCCCATTCACGCTTAGGGTAATGAATATTTCAGAATGTTCCAGTTCCACCTGTCTAGAGCCGGAAGTTACAGTAATTAATGACTTAGCTCCAGAGCTGAGCAGGAAACGAGCGGCATGGGGAGCTTTCAAGAGCATTGAGGATGTAGTGAAGAGAACAAAGAACACCCGACTCCGTGCCCACCTTTCCGACTTAATGGTACGTCCTGCCCTAACGTATGCGTCAGAAACATGGTCGCTGCGTAAGCAGGATGAAAACTCACTCAGCGTTATCGAACGCCCGGTTGAAAGAATGATGGTGGGAGTATACCGTACTACACAAGTGAGGGAAGGGATCCGAAGCTCTAAGCCTACGTCAACGATCAGAAATCAAAGATGCCGTTTTGTACGCCAAACAGTCGAAGATAAGGTGGGCCGGACACGCAATGTGTATAAACGACAACTAATGGGCTAGGGTCTTAGGGACTGGGTTCCTTGGGATGTCAAACGTACTACAGGAAGACGACCGACTCGATGGTCAAAGTTCTTTACATAAAGCTTAGAAGAAAGATATGATGCATAACGAGTTCGTAGAGTCACTACAGCGGGCAGCACCCACGGGGTTACTTTTGCATGAGACAAGAAGTGGAAGATTTACTGTCATCCGCTCGAGTCACTCGACGATCAACGGGACGGCAGCTGACAGATGATGGTTGGTTTCTGGTTTTAAGCACAGTTATGTTACTGTTGTTAGCATTTGTACAAAATAACTGATGTTTTTATCGATCGACTTCTATTTAACTTTGGCATGAGTAATAGGTTTTTTTTTCATCCATGATCTTTTACGAGGTAGAGATGAGATGTTTGCTGTGGCTAACGTTTCGGCGCATTGGTGGTCTCAAGAGCTGCAACGATTCGAGTCTGATATCCACAATGCTTCTTTCTGTCTGTGTAAACTAATAAACTGAAAAAGATAATAAGTAGTAGTCATTTTGGAACTTCTTTGCATGTTGTTAATGAGACCTCATTAAAAACGGTTCCGTCAATGACGCCTGTGAATTTCATAATCTGATAACGGTACGTCAAATGCATTTAAGATCTTGAGATACCCGTTTATCATCATGATATTGTCAATGGTTTAATGCAAGAGTGCAAGTATGGCTGGAATTGAAGAACTCGACCAAGCCTTCGATGAAGTCTGGCTGGTTACTGATGGTGACACTACTGAATACATTGCTAAAGAGGAGGCATGTCCTGAGTTGGGCGAAAAATTTCCTGACTTTGCAGGAAATACTTCGTGTTATTTCATTATCTGATCTTTTGACTTCCTTCTTTTCCCTTTGTTATCATTTTTCGTTTCTCATCACACTCTTCCGGTTCAATGATTGAAGTTTCTCTGGTTGATAGTTGCCTTCAACCAACTGGCACTCCAGAATAATTATGAAGAAGGTGATCACAGGGAGGACATATTGTTGTCGTCAAAGAAACTTGTAAATATTTAAATCTTTCCTATCAATAGCTCTTGACCATTCCTCCACTCAGTTTCAATATATGCACTACCGTAGTCACCTTATGTTTTCTAGGTGCATGGGGATCTATAGCGACTACCAGCACTTAATCTCGGTAGACGACTTCTTGACACAAGTATTATGAAGTTAATGATGTTATCTGAATATTCATTACCCACTGTTGGTTGCGTATGAGAAGGGATTATGTTTGTGCGCTGTAATTTACCAAATAAATGTCCTTATACTTCTCTAATTGTACAGAGCCTTCAATCATTCATCTATCAAGCTCCTATGAATAATATAACGAATATAGTGGCAAGTACGTTAAACCCCATTAGTGTTTTGGAGGAGAAAGCGATCTAAAAAAGCCGATGCTCCCTGTAACGATCATCTAGGAACGCTGTAGTACTGTTATCTCGTGATTTCAGAAAAAAATACGCTCGCTAAGCAATTATTTCAGTGCGTCAATGAGGGCAGAACATTCCTGTGCTTAAAACCAACTTTCAGAATCAGATGAATCACTTCTGGGTTACGAGATAATGAAACAAATGAGGAAAGCTCCGCAGATCCCTGAGATCCCTCCAAGACGGGTCACTAAAGGGAATTAGCGAATATCTCATTGTTATCCGCTCATATGATAGATGAAGTGGACGATTGAACAGTGAAGTGAGATTACGGGCGTAAGAATTGAGAATTGGTTCCAAACATGCAACGCGATGAATCACATCGGTGACTAACTACTTTGTTGATTTCCAGCGCTTCCTAGACGATATCTCGTGATTTTATTGGCGTAATCTAAATGTTTCTTATTAAATAAGATAAACAAAGTCCTCTTGATGAACTGTTTCCTTGTATGCAGTGTATTTTTCGAAGTGTCGTATTTTAGGGCGTATCGTGGCAAGTTGAACTCGTCCGACAGGATATTTTTTATAAATTATTGAGTGCAGAGAATGGCTTTTCTGGTTTCGATTCCGATTAAGAAAAAGTTCTGCAACCAATGGAAGTCACTACGGACACTACAATATCCGTACAGAGCCTATGGGTTAATGGAGCCGAATGCATGACTTATCCTTCAAGGAATGATCAACGTCAACCTCTTTATCCATTTTTATCTCTTCTATGTGTAGTCGTAATTACCTTGTAAATCAAGAGATAAGTGCTATCTAAAAAAACCTTCCGTGTACCTTTTTAGATAAAAAGAGAAAAACATTTGAAGCGATCTTCCTTCAACAGTGTGAAATATCCTTCAGTTCATCGTCAAGAAGTATCGAAAGCTTAGGAGTGAAGAACAATCAGTGGAATTCCACGTATTTAGAAACCCTTATCAATTTAGAACGTACGCTCTCCCTATCATTATCATCTCTGTCTTGAAGAAAGAGACGAAGATGAAACGAATCTTCGAAGGTAAATGCGATTCTTTGAAAGAAATTTCATTATACCACGGAAATTGCACAAACTGCTTGATGAGTTATAATTTAGGCAAGACAATATTGCTCAGTCTCACCCGAGTATCATGAAAGACTTTCGCTGTCTGCACCCAACAGAAAAGCTGACCAGAAAATGGAAGTCGTTGGACGGCTGGCGAAGTGTAGATGAATTGCAGTAGAAGTGGATCACTTGTCCTGAAAGAAATAGTCTTCAGAAATCTAAATAAAAACATAATTACGTTTCCCAAGAAAAAACGCTATTCTCCCACTCCCACAATCAAAAAGAAGAAGAGGAAGAGAAAGAATTCAGGCGCTATTACGGTCCAAACGTGTAACTACGGCAACTCGTAAGCGTTTGTTAACAAAAATGTGACAAAGTTGCAACTTTTGTTTACCACCTATTCTTTCTTTCATGGCAGAGTACGATGTGAACCACAACCATACGGATGCTGAGATCTGGGTAAAACTTGGAACTTCGAGCTAGCGGTTACTTTTACGGGGTCTCACGTGTTATCCACCACACAGGCCGAGGGCTTTGGTTTGCTTTTCTCTCATACGTTTTTACTATATCGGTATTATCATCAACCACTCGCCAGTACACAGTTAACTCCAGCAAGTGTATACGGGGATTCAAATCACTCCCAAGGTTCCGAGTTTTGCTCAAATCTCAGCATCTCTATCACTGCGCTTCACATCGTGCCCTGCCACGAAAAAAGAATAGGCGGTAAATAAAAGTTAAAACATTGTGACTTTGACCGCTGCTTCGACTGAACTAGGTTCAGTGCCGATTCGTGCTCTTAAACCATGGCTAAGAAAAAAAATATGACATTTGCACTCAGGAAAGTTAGTCGCGAAATAAAAAACGTGAAGAAAACCCTTCTCAAAAGTACTTTGGATATTTAAGTCTCTTGTTTCTCAATGAAACGACACTGCGACAAGGAATTAAGAAAGACATAAAATTTGGTAAACATATTTAGAGTATATAGAAGAACGTTCAGTGAGGAGCGAAATCAGTTCATATAAAATCTATTAAAGCTTGTTAAACGTTACATTTAGAGTAAAATAAACCTGAAAAAAAACAAGAAAAAATTCTGCAGCACCTATCGTAATGGGTAAATGGCCTATTATATATTAAAATTTTGAGTAGACAAGAGAAAATCGTGACGGCGATGAGCATTCCGCACACTTGCCATCTCGTCACCGCTGGAGATCTCGATTCTGCCTGGAGAAAAGCAAACAGTTTGTGGGAGCTTAGGACTTCATCTGCCAATTTGTCAATCAACGAAATTCTCATATTCATTTAATGCTTGTGAGGATGTTTTCATTAAAATACTGTTGTAATTTCTAGTAAACAGAGAAATCTGATTTTCCACACAGTGTTTCATAGCAGAGGCCTGCTTGGAACAATTTAATGCGACTTATTTCTAGAATTAAAAATGGGATTCCAAAAACTAGAAAGCTTATTGGATGTGGTTAGAGCAAACATTTCCACCTTGGAAACAAAATATTCTTCGTACTTGGTTGTGTCAGCTGTGGTTGGAAGGAATGATATCGCACTGAGTAAAGGAGCCATGCCTGAAAACGCGCATGTTGTGATGGGCGTAAGGTAAAAGGAATGAGTCAAATAAGATGATACAACGAAAAGAATGATTAGAGAATGAATTCAATGCAGGACGAGCTAATGTGAGAAGAAAAGGAGATGAAACAACTGCTTGGTCATTTATTGCTACGTCAATCTCTAAACTTTCAAATGAAAGGACTACTCTCGCTCTATTTCATGTTTAGAATGATATTGAAATAAATAACCTATCGTTGTATTTATTTTAGAGGAATAGAGGTTTTATAACACCTTCGTGTCGCCATTTCAATGAAACAGCTTAATGGTCATTCATGTCGAGGTTAAAGCGCGTGTGCAAAAGCATTACAACATTAACTACTTTTTGCAGCAAACCATAAGCAGAAGCTCGATGACAACCGGCCAGAGCCCATCGTATTTTTTTCCTTTAATCGAAAGCAACTGAAACCGAAACACGCAAAAACAACTTTGCTCAACGCCTTGTGCCACGACTCTAGTCGCACGCAGTTTGTTCACCGTCGAGGACAAAACAGCAAAAAACCACGTCTCAAGTTTCTAGTCATTTCTCTTAAAAAGTGACATATCAAGATTACAGTTTCGTCTCCTTTCCACACATGAAACAGCCGTTAAAAACGATACCATGAAAGACTATGACAATGTTCTGGAAGGGTTCGATATTTCAGAAGAATGTTTCGACCCCTGCAAAAAAAAAATCGGAGGAATTCCGATGGCATTATCGAGTCTGTGATGCACAATGCATCGAAGAATATTGCCTTATCCGGTAAGCAAATAGGTGCACGTCGACCAGCGGAATTTGCGAAGCACACGTTTATTGGAGCCTGGGGATAACTCCAGGGAAAAAGAACTGTTCAGACACATCATGTCGCCGACGAGTCCAGGCCAATTTCTGTTCCTACCATGTAAAAGAAGTTATTTATTATTTCTAACACAAATACTGAGTGTCTCTCTCGGTAAAGGGCTTGCTGACATTGTCAAAGCTTCAGAAATGTGAGGAATGGCTGGAGGCCGTGTTAAACATAAAGAGTGAATGCACTACATTTGAGCGCAAATTTTAGTGCGACCGGACGTCATCCGCGGTAATGCCTTTGCTGGAAAAAACCAAATCAAACTGTGGTAGCTTATAACCGGGTGGCGTTCAAATCCAAAATTTCATAATTTCAGTTACCTAGCCGCTCAATTGTCATTACAACCTGAAGAGTGGTATTTGGGTCAAGAGCAACATGGATATCGCAACTGAGTTACCGGATTCGAAGCGGAATGAAGCGAGTGAAAACGGTAGTCTCGATCAAAGCTCATTTATAGTGGTTTTCATGAGCGGTGAATGCCAATAATTTTATAGGACTATTTCCTATAGACATCATTAGTTCCCAAGTTTTAGAAAAAAAATAAAGAAAAACTTACCAAATTTTGCAAAAGCACTCTGCTAATAACTTAATATTGGTGACGAGCTATTGATTCGTAGACGTATTTTTGATGGCTACTGAATCAGGTAAGTGATAGGAAATTTTGGCGATGGAAACTTGCTTCTAACTGTATTCCAGAAAAACTGAACTGTTTCCTGAGTTATGATTGAATATATGCTGTTAACCACAGATCGACTCCTAACAAACCTTACTAAATAAAGCATGATTAGATTAGTCTGGATCACAAACTAATATCAGTTAAATATACTTTTTCAGAACAAATTTATATGATCGCGAAAAATTTTCACATTGATTAGCACGCTTGGTGATCACTTATCATCTTTCGGCTTCCACGCTAGACTTTTCGTGGGTGTTGCAGCTTATAACCTCAAACATGGGCAGTTAATCCGTTTGCAATAACGGCAATACAACAACAACAATATGACAACATCGACAGACATAAACAGTATTAACGCAAAAACGACAACGGGAATTAACTAGCAAAGAGAAATCAATGAGCAAGAAGCCACATTGAAACCGAACACCAGATTCTGCTATAGAGTGATGAGACTGAGTGAATGGAGAAGGAAGTTCCATAGAGAATACAACTTAACCAAGAAAAGTAAGGAGCAAGTGCTAGCGCGGGAACCTTGTGTAGTAGACTGGAGTAGTAATTTGAAAAACTGCAGCAAGGAATGCAGAATAACTGAGACATCGGTGATTGGGGCGGAAAAAGCACAACCTAGAACTGCGGTTAAGTCTGCCTATATTAATGGAGAGCTCGACGATCGAATTCTATTACTTGAAATAAGAAAGGAAAAAGAAGATGGAGACTGTATGAGCATTGACTGTACGTACTGAAGGATGACTAACGGATTTGCTTATATTCCTTCCAGAAGCGATGCAACAACTTTTACAGAAAGTTCACTTGAATTTGATGGAGAAGTGGTAGACAACATTTGTCACTTTGTCAAGAACGTTTTCTATGTAAGGTGGTGCAAGCAGTGCGACCATCCCAGCGAATGGCTTGACGCTACTGCTGTTCGATTTGGACAGAGAGGTTCACAGGCGGAGATTATCAGGCGAAGCTACCGTCACCGGTCCTTACTGAGAGGCATGGGTGTGGGGCAAACACGTGGGTTTTATTTCAAGCAATTTGAAGAATAGTAGATTAAATGACAGCATTGAATAGTGCAAAAAGGAGCACATACTGTATTATATACAAGACTAATGGTAAAAGTGATCCACAGTGGAAAGTTTTCATGCAAATTCGTTGTGGAAAGCCTTAACGAGAAAACAGAAAACGACTATGAAAGCCGGATCGAAAAATTGAAGTAAGAGAGTGAATTGAAAATGAGAAAAGCCAGTTTTTTTTTGGAATAAGAATAAAGAAGATCGCTACTGGACACGGTGATGAAATAACCACTCTGGTACATTATTCATGCGGAAGTGCACTACATGCTCACATATTGAAGATAGTGTTTCCGTCACATCGCTATGGAGCATCTTCCTGTAGTACAATAAATTGATTTCTTCGTGAAATGTTCGCTTCTGACACAAACTGAAGAAAAACTCTCCCATTTTCATTAGAGAAGGAAAAGCCAAATCGTTAACGAGGACAATCTGTATGAAATACTTCCAATATAACTGATGTTATCGGCATCCATCCATCAACGGAATTGATTTTGAAGGCACAAATCAGCATTTAACCCAGTTAGGCTAAAGCTGTAGTATAAACCACAATGTAGTCACTTTTTATATACTGCCCATTCTTTTTCCATAGCAGAAGAGAAAGGCGAAACGAAGGAACCGACTGGTGTGGTGATAGTGGACGCGCTAGCCTACAGAAAGGATAGGATATTAACGAGTTCAATCTCCACGAAGACACCTGTGGTCAGGGGTTTTCCTAATATCTCAGCATAATTATGGAGTTAGGCGGCGCATAGCATAGTGGTATTGATGCCCACCACCACGAGCATGACGCTGGTTTGATTCTGCACCGGGCCAATCAAGCCTCTCATCCATCCGGGGTCGGAAAATTGGTACCAGACTAGTCTGGGAAAAAATCACTCTCCGCAATCCAAATGGGAACACTCCAGCCCGACTATCTCAGGACTCCGGGGAGAATTGTTCAATCAGCATTCTAAGACATTCAAGGTGAAAAATTAATCCTCAAGCAACAACCACACGCAAAGTTGGAAGATCTTCGTAAACAATGGATGCGAGGAAACGAAATGAATGTGAAGAGTGCTGGGATCCACACAGTGCACGTGAAGGCGGGTCAAATAGAATAAAAAAAAATAAAGGAAAATAGAATTTAGTTGGCGTCGATATTTCTATATCGGTACTCATGAAACGAAACGACACGGGATTTTGGCTTAAAAGAATTACTGCCAGCAACCTGAGAACATTGTAAAAGTGTTAAAAAAGGTATTACACAAAATGTAGAAGAGCGGCGGAGCTCCATGAGTAGGTGAGACCACAGCAAATTATCTTCGAACTAGAAGCCACATTGCACGCACTCGTCGTATTTCGTACGTGAAAATACCTTCAAAAGAAAAGGTTCCTGAAGGATTGGAAGGATCTTCACAAAAAGTGCCCTTTTCCGTGTTACAGCGTTCTACAAGCTCTTTCTTCAACTAGCACCCAAAAAGAACCTCCAATAAAATCAACTGGATGGACAGGCAACATTTTAAAAGAATTAAACTGGATTCCTCTGCAACGTTCACTTGAAACAATGGCGTGTTTGTGCTTTACGTGAAACACCTGTATTCACAATCGGATAGCAGCTATGGAGCAGGACCCGATAATCGAAACGTCACCACGAATAAAGCACAACATCGGTATATATGGCCATAAGTGGCCCATTATACTGTCGTGGATGAAAACATTAATAACACGACCACATTTTTTTCATCATCCAGTTTTTAGTAGACCTCTCATAAAACCCACAAGATAACTTGCTTAGAAAACCGTCACAAAAGTGGATGCAACCAGAAAATCTCAAGAAATGGTTGACAAACAATAGAAAATTCGCCCATAAGCTTTAAACTCAACGTGAGAAAAATCTCTATCAATTCGATTAGAGATATGGGAACAGATAAAAAATGTCGAATGGCAGATGAGGTAGTAATTCAATTAGGGAAGTGTTTTATAAACGAAGTAGAAAGGTTTCGGTCATAAAAGCACAACGATGTAGCAGAAATGGTGAAATACGTAAAATTGAAGACGAATATTGCAGAGCTGTGGAGTCACTTGCATTGAGAACGAGCTTGATACGCGCTCTAATTTCAGAGTCCTCATCTATATTAGGCCTTCCACAAAATTCCAGTTCAATGTACTACTCGCTTCAAAACATGTGAGTGGTGTGCGGGAGCTCCCGTAGCGCAGAAGACATAGCAATCTTTAGGGCGGCGACAGGTAGACGCATGGGTGTTGGCCTGAAGTTTTTAGGATGTTTGGGGAATGATGAGAGAACGTTTATTGAAACAGGCAATCAGCATTCGACACTGGTGGTGGGAGAGGCAGCAGGGAACGCAAATTGTGGAAAAATGGAAGTCCAACCTCATGTCATTGTCTCGTCAACTGAGACATTTCTCAAAAGGCTCTCTGCTATTGATCAAGTACAGCAGCCGGAAAAGTTGAAAGAACTATGATGAATATAACCAAGACCTGCTTAGAATGAGTGGATAATAGGACAAAACAAGTTAAAAGATAGTGAAGCTCTAGAGTTACCAAAAGCTTTAGGACACTAGTAAGAAGTCCTGACGACTATAAGCCGTGAAACTGCACACTTAATACACAAACCAATTTAAGTTCTCCGAATAAAGAAAACCAAGGGCAGTTGGAAAGAAACAGTTAGGATTTCGCTGAAAAGCTGCTACATTGTAAATTTCCAGTCTTGAATTCGTTTTTCTTGCGTTGTGGATCAACAAGGTACACGACTTCGACAATAACGTAAAGTATTTATCTTAAAATATTTGGTGCAAACAAGGAAATCGAGATCAAGAAATCAATGTCAGTGAAGGACAGGACCACAGATGAGACGAACGAGGAAATGGTTACGTCCTGCCGATGACTCACACTGCAGCTGTGGTCCATGGGAGTAAAGTGGTTCTTATCACCTGGATGTTCACATGGAGAACGAATGACGGGTTTTCAATCCAAACTCAGACTCAATCGGAAAAGTGTAAAAAAAAGTGTTTTCATGTAATACAACACTCAACCTGCTTGATGATTTGAACCTTATGATTCATCACGAAAACGTCACCGTTCGATGTTAAACAACGGACTCCAGGATGTCTAAAAAGTTGTACATCTTCCATGTGTTGAGAAACATCTCTAATGTAACTAGAATGATGCTAGGGTATTTGCTAAATTCGAAACTCAGTCCAGCTTCGAACCCGCGATTGCTCTTACCGGGGACTCACGTGTTAATCACAGCACATAATACCCTGCCATGAAAAAGCAAGAGGCAGTAAATAAAAAGCTAGACGTTAGCTTTAAAGTAATTCGTTTACTTTCGATCCCACTACGAATACGATAATATTTGAAATAACAATAAAAATAAAGATTTGGATACTTAATGCCCAATGAATATATTCCCGATGGAACTACCATGACAGAGATTGACACCAAAGGCAGACATGTTCCTTCCAACTTTGTGAGATTATCCTTCAAGTATCAGAGTTTTTTGAAAACGTGTGGTGGAAAAAGGTAGTAAAATCAGGAAACCGACTGCTGATTTGTGTAGCCGACCAAGTTGGAGGAGAGCAAACAACATGGCGACGATTTATGCTTCAACAGCCAAAAACGAGCAATCGACCATTGGTTAGTAGACGGAGGTGGGAAAGTTCAGTAATCGCTGTGAAATCTGAAACAAAGAAACAAGGAAACTCGTTCAGTTCTGTAGGAAATGGTGTAGCGAATACCTAAAAGTTATGGACATAAATCAGCTGCATGAAGATGTTCTACTAACGAGAAGCACAGCCATTTCTGATGCAAAAAAAAACAGAAAGAAGAATAAAAAAATCCTGCAAAAAGTGAAGCGAATTGCTATCGATGAACATCTAACCATTCAATGATTGTTAGCGCTTCAAAACGCATTCATCAAACGGAATTTTAGGATAAAAATCACTCTAAGAGCTATGATGACACAGCTAAGAAACGCGCGCAACAGCTGACGCGATTTTATGGTGACATACGCGTCGACCGAATGGGCGAGTACACAGACGTCTTTCTTACTTTCGGAAGTGTTTTTGTGATGTTAAGGCTATTATTTATAGTCCTCGTCCGTATTCTTTGTTAGCCATGCAACTAAAACAACACCCACAACTGCCTTTGCTTTTTATTTAACATCTAATTCTTCATGGATGTGTGTAACGCAGTGGTTAGAGGTGCCCTATAACATGGGATCGATCCCGCACCTCAAGCTCACCAGGTTTTCCATCTCTCCAGGGTCAGCAAATTGATACCAGACTTGTCTGGGATGATAATAGCACTGGCTCGATACATCGTAGGAATCGAATGAATCGACATCGAAATAAATCCTAGCAGTGCAGTTCGTAACTTTTTCCAGCTCTTTTCTATCCACCGAAGTCACAGAAACTCATAGAGGCCACAATTTGAAAAATCGGCTTAAAAGAAACGTTATTCTAGAAGGATCCAGGAAAATAAATCGAATGTTTCCCACGCACCAAAATTCCTCCAATACTGGAAAATTCTGCCGCTCCAACATAATTTTTAAATAATATTACGCTACGATACTTTCAGTTCCGAACTGCTCTTCGCCTCGACATGTGGCTTGGTCTTCTGATAAACCTACACGTCCATTCGAGTGAATACCGAGCACAGTTCTATTACGCTTCATGGCCAGGATTGTCCCTCATAGGTAGTTAGGAGATCAGTTTGAGATAAGGCACCAAGTCACACGTGAAAGCGATGCATTTTTGCTTTCGAATTACTCTCGAATTTCTGAAAATGCTCCAAAATGCTTCAAGAGTTTTATACGCTGATGTCCTGATTCTTTCGCTAGGATCGCAACTGTCACTTCAGAATCACCATCGTTGTGGTTTATATCGTGTGCGTGCCCTGTGGAGTGTTTCGTAGGAGTACCAGCTTCCCACCTAGGTGTTCCTCTATGTGGAAACAAAATAGGCTATCCGTTTTTCCAGTATGTTCACTGCCGACAAAATCCTCGCGTAAGAATCAAAGACATCAATGAGCATAAAGGCTAAGGCATTTTGGACTAATTTCGAAAATCTAAAAATGAATGGAAAGGACGAATGCTTCATTATCATACCGGTGGCTCACCTCGGATTAATGTTCTAGTTAGGATCAGTTTCATCTATGATTCTACGTGAACAACATACCTGTGTTCTCATTCCTCAGAAAACAAAAACAAACGCTAAGTGTTTTTTAAGCTTCCCGCGACGAAGCTGGTTTTTCGAAAATTTAGGACAATTCTACCAATAATAGGAGAATTGATATCACTACGGCAGTTGTTCCAACATATTCTGCCAATTTTAGATTTACTTAGAATTAAAATTTTCAAAAAATTGAGGAGGAGATTTAAATTTTAAGAAGTTCCTAAACTAAAACAAATTACTAATATCGAAACTAACTAGCTACTTATTAGCACTAGTTCTTATGTATTAGTATAGTTAGTATTTATTAGTATTGACATTAGCATTTGGTAAATCTCTATCTAATCCACAAAAGCTGCCACTGTCTGTGGTGGTGAAGACCTGAGAGAGGCTTTGGCCAGACTGACCTCGGGATTCCGGGAAACAACAATGTTTTAAGCAGCAAAAAAAATGGAGAAAAATGGAGATTATGCTGGGGCCCGTGTGATGCAGTGGTTGGAGGCGCCACTGCGATACATACATGGTATCGATCCCCGCGCCCATGGCCCACCAAGCCTTCCATCCTTTCGGGGTTGGCAAATTGGTACCAGATTTGTCTGGGACGATAGCGGCACTGGCTCGATACATCGATAGGCCACCGTGAGTCATTGCAAAGGCCAAATATGCATTTAATCACCTCCTAGTGATGCTTAATGAAGCCGACTGCATGGCGCAACCCTCATGAATTGGCCAACGCCGAGAGCTTTATCCTTTTCATTTTATGCTGGGACCCGCACAATCAGTTAGGATGGGACAATCAAGTATCAAGTAAGTATTAGCATTAGTTAAAGTCCATCGTTCGAATCATTAAAAGTAGGAACTGTTCACAAGGAAAAGCGGGTGAAGAAGCGAAGTTCACTAAACACCTGGTACCTGAGGTGCACCGCCTGCATAGATGGGGAGCAAAGTGAACGAAGCTCACTGCGCGACAATATTTTCAAATCTGACTTTCCTTCTACCTCGATATAACCAATCAACTTGTAATATTTCATTGACAAACTGACGTGAAGTTGTTAAAAAAGACTTCATTCGGCTAACGTTTCGACGTCTTCGCATTCTTTAGAGCCGGACTGGTCCGACTCTATTGTCTACTCCGTTGAAAATTTATCGCTTTTCTCCGGAAATTTCTTCCAAAATGTTTCTCTGCCCTTTTTTTTTCTACGGACAATCTGTATCAGCAACCTTCCGGTAAAAAAGAGCATTGCCGAGTGAAGTCAATTCATCCAGGTCGTGCTCCATTGGATTCAAATCAATGCAATCAGGCATGCCCACATCGGAAGAAGGAAAACTGTGGACAATCAGCTCGGATCAATCCGGCTCTGATGAAAGCGGGAATGCGTCACCACCGTGGCTGTATTTCACATAACACCCTGCCACGGAAAAAATAATAATAGGCAGTAAATAAGAAGTTAATTGTTGGAAACTACAATTTGAAGTGCGTTACATTCGATACATTACCCTTCAATGGTCTGTTTCTCTATACAGAGATTTTAGCCTCAATCCGTATTTAATAGGTTGCTCTACACCGATGTTAGGCTTGGCCCGTAAAATGCTTTCACCCGTTGGTAGTTTGCAGAAATCCATTTTTCGGACGTGGCCATCGACGCGTAATTTGACTGGTAACTCACTGTTATTTCAAATCCTATAGCTAATGAATCATGGTTAGCGTATGAAACGTGTGGGTAAGAAAATAGAACTAGATAAAACATAGACTGCAAAACACCTCCAAAAGTTGACACCAATGTGGTTGCATAATAGACCATAGTAACACAAACTAAATACCAACATGCGTAGTATGCTTGTCTCTAGAGCGATTGACCAATGTCTCCTCTATAATTCAATCATATTTTGAACCCCCCAGTCCTATAGTTGTAGAACAAATAACGTCTACCCGTGAAAAAACAGCAACTCCGTAACCGACATGAGATTTGGCATTGTTCCACGCAGGAGCGGTCGAGGCAAATTTGAGCGTCAGGCGTTACAGTTTATAGAAAAAACAACCTAATTTTGAAAACCGTCTGAAGTGCTTTCACCGGTAGCACCTTACACAGGTCAATAATCCAATATGCTTTACCAATTATTTTAAACTTATTTTGGTCCGAATCCTGGCGAGCATCCTTGTGCAAGGACGAATGGCTTTTGTGAAGCGGAAGCGTTAATATAGAGATGAGATGTATGGAAGAGTGGGAGCAGGCACCATTCATTGTGCGAATTACTGGTCCAACAACTCAGCGAATAAATATGGTATCGTA